TCTAAATCCCCTGTTTGATGTCCAAAAATGACAAATGATACATCATTGGAAAGTTCTTATGCTCGACTTTTAGATTCTGAAAAAAACTTGAAAATTTGAAGAAAATTTTTTTTTTTGGCAAAATCTAGTTGTATATTAAAAATGTTTTCAAACAAAAAATGTGCAAAACCCTTGACCATGCCATTTCAAATAGGCAAAAATTTTTGCAATCAATGTGTAATTAATGCAATTATTGCGCAAATTTATTTTGACATAGGCTTATGTTATAGGCTTTCCAAAAAGCTAAAAATTATTAAAATCTGACAACTTAAAGTGTGTAAAAACAAAAATTTAGTTTGTTACATGAAAAGTAGTCATTCAGGCATGGGCCCCTGAGGACTCAAGGAAGTTACTATAAAAGCCCGATTTTAGATCTAAAGAGAGTGCTATGGGTGTTTAGGAAAAGTCAGAAATTTTCAACAGCCTGAGACCAATACTTGTTGAGTTATGTTAAAAAAAACTACAGGGGGGGTCAAATTGCCCCCCCCCCCCCGGCCCCAGCAGGAATTGGGTTAAAAATATTTGCTTTTTAGATTATATTCCGGCTAAAAATTAAACGTCGTTGAAAGGTTCAAACCAGACTCTTGTTTATGATAAAAGATATAAAATGAATTGCTGAAAATAGATTATTTTCTTCAAAATATATATAAATCTATTGCAATTTAAAAATTCGAATCTTTGATTTTATCTAAAATTGGATTTGAAAATGTCGCTGAAATGGGGTTTATAGCATTCACAACAAAATATGTAAAATACCGTCTGGTAGTTGGATAATCAGGGGGTATGGGGGGAATGGGGGGAAGGCAAGGAGAATTGAATAGAAGGAGGGGGCGATAGGGTTTCCGTACACTTTGCTTTGACGTTTTTTGACTGATGAAGAACTAGTTTTTGCGTAACAATAAAAAAGGAGGCCGATCTAATGTAAACAAACATGAGTTAGTGTACGGTGAATCTTTATCTAACGCCAGAAATGCCAGATGTTTGTTTATCATTTGTGTTATTATTTACAATCTTTATTATTGTTGTTACTCAAAAACTAGTTCTTCAGCAGTCCAAAAACGTCACAGCAAAGTGTACGGAAACCCTATCGCCCCCTCCTTCTATTTCTAAATAATTTGCAAACAAATATGTCATCTTCAAACTATAAAATAAAAATTTAAAAAATGCTAATAAATACACTTTTCTGTGACGTACAGGGTTCCCTTCAAGGGAAGAGACTTTGATGATAACCTAATTTTTTAAAATAAAAAGCCCTAAAGATTTGATTTGATTTTCTGTCTTAAAGGGACTGTAAGTATAATTACAAGTGACCCTCCTTGCAAAGATGACAATGTCCGATTTAAAAAGGTATTCTTGAAACCTTTATCTGATCAATTGTGTAAAAGATATTGTCTTTTTTTTAGGTCTAACTTATCAGTATTGATAATTCATAAAATAATTAGTTTTTAAAAACACAAACAAACATTATTCATATCTTCTATGTAATAAAGCTCTTCGCTCATATATCTATATATGTTAGCCATGGTTTGCAAACGGCTGGACCGAATTGGCCAAATTTTGTTAAGCAAACCCACCCCGGTGCTTGGGAGTAGCATAGGTAAATTTCGAAAATTTAAAAAAAATGCTTTTGAAATTTCACGGGCAACACCGGGCACGTCAGCTAGTAATTTATATAAACTTAAGGGGTATCGTTGTGAATTGGGCATTGACATCTTTACGCGAAGGGTCGTATAAAATTACGCTTATACAGCCCCTTTAAATATTGTCTTAAAATTGCATTTAAAATAAAATTTGTTTATATCTGCTGGAAACCTTAAATGAAAGAGACAAAACTAAATAGATTTCCTACAGTCGTCTCTCAGATCTCATTCTTTATGGTTATTACTGTAAATTGTCTTACATTTTCGAGTTTGTTAATTGACGATTTAATTTTTAAATTTTTTAATAGAATTTGCCTTTTTTATTAACAGATTTAAATTCAAATACTGATCAAAAACTGGGACTAAAACTTTAATGAGGCAGAAAAAACTAAAGGTTATGTTTATTTTCCTTGACAGTGGATCCATATGACAGTGATCAATTTTAAAGTGTATTTATGTACTTACAGTGATCCAAAGGTTGCAAGCAAAAACCCGTTGCAAACTTTGCCAATTACTTCTAAACAACTGAAGCGAAATACAAGTGAAATTGAACGTACATGTCTAGGGCTACAATAAAGCATAAGTAAGTTGTTGAGGTAAAAACAAAGGTCAAAACATCGCTACACATTAAAGTCGGCCCAGTTTAAAAAATGAATGCAACTGTTTATTATAGCAGCCTGGATCTTTGTGTATTATGAAGGCACTGCGGCTAGGGGGCCGAGCGCTGAAATGTTAAAATTAATGTGCTCTCTCTTTAAAAATAATAGTGTTTGTCTGTTTGTCGCACTTATGTCGTTTCACCCTTTAGTTGCGTTTTCGACTCTAAATATGTCGTTTGACTCTAGGTCGTTTGACCCTATGTCGTTTGACCCTATGTCGTTTGACCCGTTGTCGTTTGACCCTATGTCGTTTGACTCTAGGTCGTTTGACTCTGGGTCGTTTGACCCTATGAAGTTTGACCCTATGTCGTTTGATCCTTTGTCGTTTGACCCTATTTCATTTGACCCTATGTCGTTTGACCTTATGTCGTTTGACCCAATATCGTTTGACCCTATGTCTTTTGACCCTATGGCATTTGACCCTAAGTCGTTTGACCCTATGTCGTTTGACTCCATGGTGTTTGACCCTATGTCGTCTGACCCTATGTCGTTTGACCCTATGTCGTTTGACCCTATGGCATTTGACCCTAAGCCGTTTGACCCTAAGTCGTTTGACCCTATATCGTTTGACCCTATGGCATTTGACCCTAAGTCGTTTGACCCTATGTCGTTTAACCCTATGCTGTTTGACCCTATTTTGTTTGACCCTATGGCATTTGACCCATGGTCGTTTGACCCTATGTCGTTTGATCCTATGTCTTTTAATCCTATGGCGTTTGACCCTATGGTGTTTGACCCTATGGTGTTTGACCCTATGGCATTTAACCCTATAAGATCGTTTGACTCTATGGTGTTTTATCCTATGTCGGTGAATCCAAATGTTGTGCATCTTCACTTCTAAATAAAAATTGAGAACCAAAAAATAATGGGGATTCATCAACTTAAATATTCGTATTTCTGCTCTTGTAAATGGACTGTTCACGAATTATAAGTAAACCTTGATTTAACGAGCTGCATTCTTATTTCTTTTCCATTTTGCAGTTTGTATAAAAAAATATCTTGCAGAAACGAAAAAGGGAATTGATAGAAAAAAACGACGATATCCTAAAGATAAGGGAAATTTGGATGCGTGCATGTATGAAATTAAGTTCCCACTAAACTTTAAATTTGTAGACGTTTGTTTATATCAGATAGAATTAGTTGTGTATAAAAGTTAAATAACTTTGTAAAAATATGGTTTCTTGGTTTAGCACTGTTTTTTTTGGTAAAATTAAGCTCAATAAAAACTAATTGATAAAATTGACATTTTTTATTATGTTATTTTAGTTTTTTAATGATTTTTATTGACAATTTGCTCTTTTCTTGTATAATTATTCTTTTATGAATGTTTTTGTCTTAACCCACATAGTTTTAACTGATTCAGCCAGATTAATATTGACGCAGAATTCTTTTGTTTGTTAAATATGCTTCATAATTACTTTTCCTGTAAGAATGAATAAAACGTATCTTTTTCCCCTTACTAAAGGGAGAGTTCGTGAAAAATGAAAGGGGGTATAGGCTTAGTGCGATAAAAAAGCGCTTTTGATCGCTACTAATCTTACTTCTATCTGTTGCGTCTATAAGGAGAAAATTGTTAAAGACGTCTCATACCGAATAACTTGGCGGCCATACAAATTGAGAAAATTGCAACATACGACTTAGACCGTAAAAAAAATCAATTTAATTTCAAACAAATCATTCAGATATTACAACATTTATATATAGTTTATATTTTATAATATTTTTTAATTAATTTGTTTGTTTCTCTTGTCGCTTGCGCAACTATCTAAGAATGCCGCACACCACTCACAATTTTCGAAATCAGTTGAAAAAAGTTTCTAAAAAATAAAATATTATAAAATATAAACTATATATAAATGTGGCGAAAGATAATCGTTGACTATAAGTTGTAATATCTGAATGATTTGTTTGAAATTAAATTGATTTTTTTACGGTCTAAGTCGTATGTTGCAATTTTCTCAATTTGTATGAACGCTAAGTTATTCGGTATGAGACGTCTTTAACAATTTTCTCCTTATAGACGCAACAGATAGAAGTAAGATTAGTAGCGATCAAAAGCGCTTTTTTATCGCACTAAGCCTATACCCCCTTTCATTTTTCACGAACACTCCCTTTAGTAATAATAAAATTAATAAAAATAATAAAAAAATAAAGGAACTAAGTCTTTGTCACAAAGTTAAATGATTTAATGCCTATATCTTTGCAACCTGATAATGTAAACCTTTGATATTTTCAACTTAGATTATTTTTTAAACAGAAATTTGTAGTTTGAAATAACTAAAGTCTACAACATTAGGTTGCTTAATATAAGGATTAGAAAATCAGAGTTTCTTATTCAATGAGAACAATATTTTTTTAAAGGAAATAGAATGAGAAATAGACTAATCTATATATATAAAGTTGTAATCTCTGTTTGTCTGTTTGTTTTTCCGATCATAACTCAGGAACCTCTGGACCGATTTGCCTCCAATTTTGACTGGGGAACTTGGGAAAGCCGCAGGAATGTTTTAGCATGGTTTAGAGATTCTATGTTGAGTGGGTTAAATAGCTGAAATCGCAATTTACGACAAGGGGCGGGTAAACGGTGAAATCTTACTATGACTCCCTTAGTCCACGCTGGGTTCCCAAGCATGTTTAATAATATAATCAAGCAACAAAATACTAGATTTAGATTTAATTTTATTTATAGTTTCTTTAACAACTTAACAATAAATAGGTTTTAGTATAATACATATTGGTAACTTTGTTTAAAGTATGACTAGTGAAAAAACTAGAACTCTAGATTGGTCGGAGTACGAGTAAAAAGTATTAGCTATAAAGCTGTAATAAGAAGCTTCTCTGAAATAAGCTCTACTTAGGCAGATGTTGGTTCGGAAAAGAAGATGATTTAGGAAAGAAAATTTCGATAAAAACTGAAAGAAGAAGAACATGAACAACATCTTCTTGTATATGAGATTAATCTAAAAGTTGAAATCTATTCCAGCATTAGGGAATGAATAATACCCTTGGAACACTGACGTACTAGAATCTGCTAGTAGGTGGCTTCTTCCTGGAGCTGGAGCAAGTGCTACAGGAGATACAGACACAGGTGACACTGCAAACCTAGAAGTTGATACAGGAGAAGCTACTGTCCGTCCACCGTACTGTGGAAGCCGAGCAACTTGCTCTTCAACTGGTGCTGGAAGGGCAGGTAGTGGAGCAGGGAGAGCAGGTGGCGGGGCTGCAGAGTTAGATCTGTCCAGAACAGCTGGAGCTTCCTCTTCTAACTCTTCCTCAGTCACATATTCATAATCTGATTCATCTTCATTTTCTGTAGCGTCTACTTCTCTGATTGCAGAAGCATCGGTATTGCTAGCACTGGACAGAGTAAATATTCTTCCGTCAGGAGTCTGAAATATTTGACCTGGTTGAAGGTTAGCATTTAAGGCAAAGAATCGGCCATCAGTGTGTTGAAGAAGGGAAGGTTGCTGCTGAAGCAGGGACGGTTGCTGCTGAAGAAGGGAGGCTCCTTGCTGAAGAAAAGCTGGAGCACTAGCACTCACTAAGGGTTGGTTAACAAGCGCTGGGGATTCTGTTCTGAGAACTTGCTGCTGGAAAAGAGCGGCAGGATTGGTACGGAGCACTTGATCCTGGAATAGAGATGGAGATTGAATCAGGAAAGGCTGTTGCTGCGCCCGAATCAAACCTTGATCATTTACAAAAAATGTCTGCTCCTGAAGCAAACCGGGAGAATTCTGAAAAATCCCCCTCTGGACAAGCCCAGGGTTGACAAACTGACCCTGAGTTGTCAAGAAAGTACGAAGGCCATCGTTTGATGTCTGTGTATGGTGGCGGTGGACTATTGATCGACCATCTTCAAGGGTATTTGAATGATGAGAAACACTTCCCCCGCCCAGTAAAGGAGCAACATGTTCAGATCTTGTCAGTATTCCTGGATCAGTCTCACCAATACACACAGCAGTGATAGCAGAGAAAAGAAAAACCTAAAATTAACAAAATATTATTTAATTTTTTTTACAATTATCATTTTAACAAACCTGGGCTAACATGTTGCTTGTATGAGAGTCGAAGAACAACTGTGTAACTTCAGCGGATTCCCACCTATTTATCCAAGTATAGTATAGTCTCTACGCAACTACATTCCTCTGGTAGAATTATCCAGATGATTCTCTTTAATGCATTTATAAATACTTAGCTTCCTGGGCGCTTCCCGCCCCTCTTATGTTGTTGATTTTTCTGCAAAATTGTCTTCTTCGGACATAACAAATTTCGCAAATTTTCTCGTTTTTTAAGAAAATTTTCAGAATTATAAAAACAAAAATGAAAATTTTAGGAGCATTTTAAAATCCCGACTAAACTGAAACCAATTCTGAAGTGGGGCACCATAATAAATTAAGCCACATTTGTTTAGCTGTTTTGTTGTAAACCAACCTTCAACTACAAGGCAATATATGCAATGTCCCTGTAATAGATTGCTAAATATTTAAGATAATTTTAATAAGACCTGAATATGATCATCTGGAATCCAGATTGCCATTTATATGAACGGTTTTATTTAAATTCAACCAATTGTCAAAGATGAAAAAATACAAAAAGTTTAAAAGTTAATTAGAAATGTACTCCCTTCAATCTACCGACTCTTGCTTGAATTTGTATTTAAATTTGTACTTAAATTTTGATTAATTTTCCCAGCTAACAAATAAATAATGTTGTACTTTTAGGGCTGGGCATTGGGAAGTAAAAACATTTCATTCTAGCTAACTAACAAAGTTTCGATTTTGTTCAAACAAATTCTAAAACTAACAGGATTATAGTTTTCAAATGTTATCAAAAACGAAAAAAAGAATATCAAAGTTTAAGACAAAAACTGTTCGATTTCATTATTTCGGCAAGTACATTAAAATTTCTATTGGATACTTCACTGCAATTTGTGTGCATTTAATAGATTATATCATTCTTATTATTTTCTCATATCAGAGTTCATATCAGGGTATAGTATTGTACCAAGAAGTTTTTTTTTAAACTTTAAGATTAAACACTTAAAAAAAATATACTGAAGGACGAGGTGTTCCACACGAAAAAGTAATTTGGTTTTTGCCACAAACTTAAATTTTCTGATTCCAATATCTTAGCGACCTGATGTTGTACACATTTGATATTTCAAACTTAAATAAGTTGAGCTAACATAATTCATAGTTTGAAATATCTAAGGTCTACGACGTTTGGTTGGAACAATACAAGGTCTGGAAAATCAGAGTTTGCTGCAAAGCCTCAATTCCTTTATGAAAATGTGGCTTGGACGAGAAATTATTGTTATAATGACCCTCCCTCCCTCATATACATTAAAAAAACTTTTAGATATAATTTAAACTTTTGCTTCTTCCGCGCGCAAAGATTATTTGGGTGAATACTTAAGAATTCAAACTATACAAGTGTCTGTTTGATCGTAATCTGATGTGTGTGTATGTTCAACTAGGTTCAACTAGGTACTTTACTAAACTAATTTAAAACTTCGCCCACAGAGCATGTAAAGATCAGATAACATGTCTAGTTTAACTTATCAAAATTGTCTAGCCTCCCCCCCCCTATTTTTCATCATCAAATATATAAATGGAAGGTCACTTGAAACAACACCCAGAGTCCCTGTAGCAAGTTGATTTCATGTATCGAAAATTGAAACCCTTCTGTCTGATAAATAATTATTTAAATATCCTAGAATATATTTACAATAACTGAAACCTTATGTTCTCAATATTTGTTCTGAATTATTCAGTTTAAATAATATTTGGAATTTGACATAAAAAGTTTGGAATTTCCGTCCTGACATAGATATAAAGATATACAGATATAGAGGTATATAGATACTAGAGATATAGAGAAAGATATAGAGAGGGGGGGATAACAATGGCCACCCTTAAATGCCAAAATAACCTGAAACCAGAGCCCATAGCCCCCCCCCCCTGAATACGCCTCTGGTCCTGTTTGCAATTAGATTAAAAATGTAGTTTAAGTCGTGCCTGTACGAGAAAACTATAGACTGGACAGGCGGGGCAGTACCTGTAGAATTGATGCAGTTGCATAAGCTAACCTTGGATTTAAAGGAACTGTCGACGATTTTTAGGTGAATTAGTTACTCAATTCACAAAAAATCCCTTTAAATCTCTATCTGAGGATCACTGAAGAAGATATCGTCGTGTAGCAAATATAAAGCCCATAGTAAATTACGTACAGCTAAATGTACCCATTAGTAAATACATAAATCATGTATTGCGATTAACCCATTCAATGTATGTAGATATATATAACTCCGTCATACCCATATTGTGATTGTTTAACTGCGTTATATATATATAACAGCGCATTACTTGTAATTATGCTGTTATGGACCCAATCATAATCTGTAGTCATAGTGTTGAGAGTAATTTGGTTTCATTGAACCAGAAAGAATTGTAATTGTTGCCTTGAGTTTTGATTTGATCGATTAATTGCTAGTGTCATGTTGAGACTGATAGTTAACGAGATCGCTCCCAGGGGTAGTTGCGTTGATGTTCACAGGAGTGTAGCCGTGTGTTGACATTGATAATCAAGAGAATCTAAGTTGTACCTGGATAGATACGTGTTTGAGAAACTATTATGGAGTAGGCGTTTACAACAATCGTTATCGGCATTCATTCAGTTTTTATCATGCATCATACATAAGCAATCAACAAAATTTTTTTTTAAAGTTTAACATTTTCCGTTAGAAAAAATGCTACAATAAGCTCAATGTATATAATGAGAAACATTACTTTGTGTATGCGATAACATGAAAAAGCTTGTATCACATTTAAAATTCTAATAGAATTAATTGTATGATTCATACCTTTTGCTTGTAATATGTATTATTAAAAAACTTTTTATCATAAACCAATAATAAAATTAACATTTTAATACCAAATTTCAAATAAATTTTTGCCGATTATTCTGTTATAATTTGCAGACTTCCAACATTTTTATAAAAGTTAAATAGTAGAGAAAAGAAGAAAAGAAAAGAAAAAAGAGAAGAAAAAATAGAAGAAAAAAAGAAGAAAAGAGAAGAGAAGAAAAAAGAAGAGAAGAAATGGAGAAGAGAAGAAAATAGAAGAGAAGAGTAGAAATAGAAGAGAAGAGTAGAAATAGAAGAGAAGAGTAGAAATAGAAGAGAAGAATAGAACGAAATAGAAGAGAAGAATAGAACATAGAAGAGAAGAGTAGAAATAGAAGAGAAGAGTAGAAATAGAAGAGAAGAATAGAACATAGAAGAGAAGAGAAAGAAGAAAAATATATTGCGTGAAAGAGAGAGCTTGCATTTTACAGAGGTATTTATCATAAAAATATGTTTAAGAATAACTTAAACTTTAAAATTAACATTATTGAAAAATTGTATGATATTTAAAAAAAATAGTTGTTCTAACTGTTCAGCGTACATTTTTTTGATTATTTAATGATTTTTGATCATTTGGCATTTGATATTCTAATATTTTTGCTTCCCCAGGATAATGTGACTTACCCCCTAGATTTTGATTTATCTGTTTTGAAGTATGTTGGATCAAACACAAAATCCTAATATATGTACTTCATGCTTATGTCCAATTAAAATAAAAACGGGTGAATTGATCGAGGCTAAATGTTTTGTGGGACCTTACATGATCCTAGGGTAGGTTTACAAACAATCAAAATTTCAAAAATTAGCCTCCAACAAAAATGGATTTTCATTAAATTTTGAAAATCCACGAATTTTTTTTTATAAATCTGCGAATTTTTTTAGTTTTTTTTTACAATGTATACAAGAGAAAATGTTCACAATTGAAATAGAAGATGGGTGCGAAGCGCCCTGTTTGTCTAGTTATACATTCTTAGCTTGTTTGTTTGATTGTCTGTTTGTGTCCAATAAACGTTAAAATGGCAGAACCGATCGAGTCCCAATTTTTGGTGGGCCTCACAGTATGCCAGGTAAGGTTTATGAAAGTGAAGAGCTTAAAATTTGCCTGAACATTTTTTGATAATCCACGAAAAATAGACAAATTAACATTTTTTGTTACTGTTTTATAATTTAAAAAGAAACATTGCCACAGATAAAGCAAAAATTAAAAGGTCAAATCGAAGATACGGGCGAAGCGCCCCGGAAGCCTAGTAGATTATATATTTCTGCAGCCTGTACTTGAAAAATGACTAGAGATGAGACTGGTTTGCGTCTAATCTAAATCTAGGTCTAAATATGAATATGTTAGATAAAATTACTAACAAGCCAGCCTGTCTCTTTAGGGGATTTGTGTCATTTTTTAATCGAGTAAGTCCTGGGGATAATGGCGGGGCTGTCGAATTTAATTTCAGGCGAGCATGTATAATTCACAATAATGCCTTCTTAAAACCTGGGCTTGAGCAAAAATGCTGAAGATCATTTATTTGCACTCCAGCTTGCATAGAAAAATCAACACAAAATTGAGTCGCCGAATAATTTTTAAGCAATTTGCTCTTTAATTGCGCGGGAAAGTCTCATGTAATTTACTGTTTTTATCTTATTTTATTTTTTTTAATGTCGAATTTATGCAAGTGATTGTTTATTGAATTTGTGAATCATGAACTTTTTTTTGCTGAGAGTTGTGGTTAAAAAAATTCATGCAATCTTTTGAGAATCAAATTCGTGCAATTTTTTGCGAAGCAAATTTTGCGGAATTTACAAGCAAATTTGCGCGGATTTGTGCAAAATTTGCGAAAATTTGATTCGAGCGGAAACCCTATAGTTATGAAGGTAAGATAATATCAAAGGTATATCATCAAAAGAAGTATAGCAAAACCATCATTTAATTAAGAGTGTGTATGTTAGCCACCGGTTTTATTTATCCATATAATAAAGCTCTTCGCTCATATATATTAAATTGTTTGCAATATAGTAGGCTGGCCAGACTTTGGCTAACATTTTTTTTAGGAAACCCGTGTTCTGTAATCTTTATGGTGTACATTATAATATACATGTACATTGTTCATGTGTAGTATGTAACTGTAAGGTGTACAACATAAATACATGTAAATTGTACAGAAGTCTGTAAGGCGTACATCATAAAT